ATGGCTAGCCTTAAGTCCCCTGGAGAATGCCATAGGGTCTCAATGGAAAGTAATGAGAAGTAAGGTTATACACACCCAGATTTAAAAATCAGGTCGAACATTTGATACATGATGAAATGGATAAAAGGGAGCTTTTATAGGCCCCTCAAGAAGGAAATACTTGATACAGTGATATATCAGGAAGGTTGATCATCATGGGACTTAATTCTTTGAAAACCTGAATTAAATTTTTCTAAGAAATAAGTCTAAATAACAATCCCATAACAGCGAAGTATTAATAATGAAGGAACTGGAGGTTTTTAAAAGTTCCATTCTGGCATAATTAAAGGATAAATCAGTTCAAATGAAATATGTCACTGTTATTAAAACTTCATTCATTTATTGGAATATGTTTCATGTGAACAGAGTGTATTTTTAAGACTATTCAATTATTATATAAGTCAATGTCATTTCCAGTTTTTGGAAAAATGACATTAATGCCTTGTCATTGAAAATGTAACTGAGTTTACCAGATTAACTTCTCAAAGGCCACCTGATAGCCAGCAGATGGCTTTACTGGAGCCAACGTCAAATCAGAAATTTCAGTTATGGATAGCCCTTAGACTATGCAACCACCATGCACTCATCCCACTGGGTGCCTTTCAAATCATAAAACATGAAGGCTTTCTACTACTTTCATAAACTCCATTTGAACATAATGAAATATGCTCTATCCACGATGCTTACAATAATTAGTTTTTTTTTCCTTAATAAGAGCCTGTCTAGAAATAGTACAATATAAAATGATCATTAATAGACCTGTTATGGTACTTGAATAAATGTCTATCAAGACTGCAGGCACACATTAGTAGATTTCCTAAAGAAAATCCATTTTTTATTTCAAATTCTGACATTTTATTTAGAAAAATTACACCCTCTCATTTCATTATTTCAGTAAACGTAATGAGGGTATCGTTAACTACACCTCAGAGTACTTTATTTTCCCCATTTTTTTTTTTTAGTAATATGAGTCTACTTGTAATTAAAGGCATGCTACATTAATGACGCCTAAAACTTCCAAGGGAAACATTTAATGTCTACCTCATAATATTATGCCAAAATTACATGCACAGAAGACTTTTTAATAATCTTTGTTTCCTAATTTAGTTTTGATTGGCTCTGAAATCCACAGCAGCACTCAAGGGCTCGCATTTCCACAGTCATCAGCACTTCTGTGCCATAAATTGTACAAACGCACACGACTCCTTCCGTCTGTAGGCTTCTTTTCAAAGCTTCTGTTTAACTTATCCAGAAAATTAGCTGCAGTCTGGAGATAATTGCAGATAATTTTGCCATTTTTAAGCCACTGGGATGTTGTGTGGTGATATGACAGCTAAGTTGGTCTAAACACAAAGGACAAGTCAAGCTTTGTGCTGTCACTTCAGCTTTAGCACACAGGTTCGTATCATTCTAATTTGCTCTTTATGCAAATTGAAACAAATTGTAGTCACTAGATGATCTGTGTTTTCGGACAAAGCTGTGCTACCTGAAGCTTTATGGGGCTTAGAGGAGAATAGGATCTATATTAACATGTTAACCCTGCCTAAAACAAAATGCTTAACTCTTCTCTATCCTTCAGATTTTCACCCTTAACAACAAGTAGAGATATTTTTAGCCCCCAACAACTTAAAAGAAATAAATTAAATTAAGAAGAAAATGTATGATCTCAATATACACAATTCATACATATACACACATATATCTAGATCTATATATATTTCCTATTCCACTATCCTAAATAGGAGTGTCAGAATTTACCCATGAAACTAATGTTTAAATGCTGGGATTATTAATACGCAACAATTTAAAATCACTAGACATGAAAGAGTTATTAAGTAGGTCATCCAGGTTAATAAGCAGAGATCTGTTGCTGAATGGAACCATGTGATCCTTTTTTCTTAAAATTTCACTCTGAAGTAAATGCAGTATTCATGGATAGTCCCTGCCCTATAATGATGGAGCAAGTGCAAAAAGCAGCAACACAGACTTTTAATGCATTGCCAACGAACGTCGACTTTCTATAAAATAAATGGGCTATGGGAATGATAGGGTATCTCTGACCAAATATCCCCCTGGTGCCCAGAATTGCTATAGTCACAGCTAATAAGGGTGTCACTAGCTGAGCAGGTGATTACTGAAACCATTTTGCAGCAAACATTTACATATAAGGGCTAAGTAGTGATTGTGCTCCTGTGGCAGCTACCCTGATGTAATAGGACATAATGACTCTGAGGGAGCAGGTATGGATTCGTGTGTCAACGAGGGGAGACCGTGAAAGTCATAACACAAATGACTATACGGGTTCCCATTAGACCTTGGGCCAAGGAGCACCTAAACAGGCTCCATATGACAGCTTTACAGCCTTGTGTCAGGAACCCTTACGCTACAGAGTTTTATGGGAAATCCAAAACCGCAGAGAGGAAGTGCTGCTATATTAGGCCATTATCACTGACTTGGTATATAATATCCATACAAACAGTCCTGAAGTTTGCATTTATGGGATAGGTCATTAAATCTGTTATGCCAATCATATGCATATTAAGGAGTCCAAATCAAGCATGGATGGGTAACATCTCGCAAACCTTACACTGTCCCTTGGAAAACAATTCTGCTCAGTGACAATCTTAAACTTACCAAGACTTCCAAATATCTCTATCATTGTAAGATGCAGCCTTTTAAAAAAGCTGTCCTGTGAAGTTTTGTGTAAACATAAAAAGTATACATGTGACTGCACTGGAAAAAGCTGAGGGCTATCATTTTAATTTTTTTCTCTTTTGGTCTCTAACATCACTTAGCCAGTAGACTGGAAAGAATCGGCTTGTTTAAGGGCCTTAGATCTTATCCCTGTGAAAGACAGGCATGAGTTCCGTACTGTGCCCTTTCCCACTCACGATGGGAGAAAGGGACACAGGAAAGACACCAAGGAAACGCTTCAACATGATGGACAGCGACGGTGCTGAGCAAGCATTCTCTTGCAGGAGGCTCAGATCAGGGATGCTGCACATTCAAAACACATGTTGAACACATCACACAGGGCCTGTGCAAGTGGAAACAGCTCTCTCAACAAGGGCATTTGCTATTTTACTTAGATCTCTAAATTATTAAATGAGTCCAAAAGCGGCCTATTGCTACAAGCGCACACGAACCAATATACAGAGGAGGAGTGCTCATTACGTAAAGAGTTGGCCCAGAGCTCACCATCTGCTGTAAGGGGCGGAAGACTGCACGATCCATCACCAGCACAGCAGTCTCCTCCCAGATATGCAATGAGATCTTAAATTCGACCTTTTATGAGAGATTATTAAAGGCCTTATAGAAAGCCAACATATATTCCTGCTCCGTTACAGATTTATTGTAGTTTTGCTAATGTGTTTGCATAAACTCCTCTTCCGGAAGTCTTTGGTATCTAATGTGCAACTTCTTTGCAAAGTATATACCTGCTTCCCAGAGAGACGGGTCCTCTCTTTGAAATATTTAGTCTTTCTGGGCACTTTAGTCATCATGACACCTAATAGCCAAGCTCTTTTTCTCACTCTCCACAAAATCAGGTTTAGACTATAATTCAAACCAGTCCCCAAAGGCACTTCTGAAAAATGGCAAGCCCTTAACTTTTAGGTGAAAACACTCTTTATTGCTCAAAATTGTTTCCTGTTTCAAAACCTTTTCTATAGCGCTGGGCCCAGGATGATCTTATGCTAATTTAACTCACTGGGGACAGTGAACAGATGCTACTTTGATTAATAGTTTCACTATCCTGAAAATGCCAGGCCAGGTTCAAGATAATAAAGTCAGGTAAGAATCCTATTAAAATCTGCCAAATGATTATATCTATTATGTGAGAAAAATAGGACCACAGTTCCTGTGTCCAATGAAGACCAACTCTAACAAAAAAACAATGACACCAACCAAATGAACACACTATGTGACGTCTTTAGCACATTGATTTACATCATTTTAATCACCAAGCTCTAGTACTCATACCTTATAGGTATACTTTCAGCAATGACCTTTGTGATAATTCATTGTCACTCCAATGTTACCTGTTCAAATAGCATTTATCTTTCCACCCAGAAAAAGACTTACATACACCATGAAAACAATGAATTCTATAACTCGGCTTATCAAAAGGAGAGTACAGCTGGTCCTCAAATAACTTTATTTCAATTCAATGTCTAACATTGGAGGACCTTAACTCTCGTTTGTATCAACTAGGTTGAGGTAAAATTCATTTCATTTGTCACCGTTTCCCTTAAAGTTGCAGAATCTATGGCTGATAAGTGAGGAGTTACTGCGACTGAATTGGTAGACCCCAAGTCATCATCTTTTAACAAATATGTTTTCGACATTCCAACATTCGCCTTTAAAGGACCCATAGAAAACCACGGCCCTTGACAATAAGGGGCTGCGTGAGTTGACAAATAATACTCTGCAGAAAAAGCTTCTCATGAAGCTCTAGCCCCTCTCTCCTCTGCTTCTCCTCTCCCTGGTCTCCCAACCAAAGATTTCCATATCTCGGCAGTTCCCTGATGAGGAAAACCAAGAAGTCTGTTCTAGCCTTGAACTATGAAACTTGGGACTGGCCTTAAATACACACACACACACACACACACACACAGAGTTGGTTTTACCACAACACACGTGGCCTAGTCAGATTCCCCATCTTCAATCTGAAATTTAACTTTCAGTTGGAGTTTTCCGTGATAATTTATATACAGTGCACTTGTCTCAGTGAACCCTTGGGAAAGCGGAAAGGAAGTTCCAGGGCCTCGAGCACACCATGCACATTGCAATTCCAAGCCACGCTGGCCTCCCCTGAGAATGAAGCCAGCCTGTTGGCATGAATCTCCACCTGCGCATTCAGCTCACTGCATGAGTTGAGCCTCTACCCTCACCACATTTGTGCTCATACACGACACGCCCCCACTTAATCCGAAATATTCTTTCCAAAAGGGTTGCCTCACCATCGCACAGAATGTCTCAGGAGGGTCTCCGCAGGTAATGTCTGGAGGGTCCAGCTTCACTTTCAGATATTTTGTCATGTCTGTGGACTCTGGCTGACAGGCCATATAATCCCAAACTTTCCCCTCTTCTGTGTAAATCTGAGTCTTACACACATCGTAATGTCCCCACACCAAAGGGTAGGGCTGCATCACTGAGGACACTGTAACCCAAAGGGCGTGAATTGACAGGAATCTTGACAAATACATCTCTAAATTCTTGGCAATTTTCGCGGTGACTAAAGCAGGGTTTCTTATCTGTGCTCTATGTCTATTTTACATACACATGTATGTCGACATGTAGGTAGGTCCATATATTTAAAGAAAATTAAAAGACGAGAGCTCAGCGTCGATTCCAAACTAAAAGTGAAGGGCTGAGATATCGTGCATGTTCAGGGATGCTGAGGACTTTGGCGGAAGGCTAACATACTTGTGCGTTAGGCGTTACAGCAACTCACTGGTTTTTCGCTGTCCTAGGACATATCTATCAGATTTGGGTCTAGTTCGGTTTTTGTAAAAGATGTGTCCAATCGCGGTAATGATTCGGCCAAGTGATGGTTGGCTTGTTCTACACCCGATCACCCTGGGAGGTCCTCGACATTCACAGCTCACGAGGGCTGCTCACGTGCACTGAGATGACAGCATCTGAAGCAAAAAGGATCAGTGGCTCTAGCCGGGTGTCTGTTTCCCATCGATCATTCTTTTCTTCTGGCACCGACACCCTTTTAGAAACAAAATGAGGAAGAGTTATCATCCAAGAATCAATCCATTACAAAATATATGATATGTTGACATTGGGGAGGGTGGATGCAATATAAAGCAAATTGGTGTGACATGGATAACCTTCACTCCCCTGCTTTGCTAGAATGAGTCAACTACAGAAATCATTCCCGTTGGGGGAGCATTTCAATATGAAAGATTTAACAAAGACAGGTGTGTGTGTTCCAGGTGAGTTACAGGTTTTTACTCCAAAAACTGTATTTCCATCTTGACAAAACTGAGAGCAAGCGGCTAGACTTAAACATTTCTCAAATACTGCAGAGCTAGAAACTCTTCCAGGAGAACAATGTGGGGAATTAGCACTTATTTATAACAATGACAAAGAAGTGACAACTACTTGTATGCCTTTCGTGTCTTGGCAAAGAGACCCTAAAAATCTCCAAATTCCTTGTACGTTTCTCAGCTTTTGTTAGTGGGAATGAAAACCAACATTGTTAGCAAGAGCCTGCCCTTTGGAGTTGCTCATTATTTTGGAAGAAAGTCGCATCTTTTGCTTAGTTGCATTTAGTGATGAAGATAATTTGGCTCTCTGAAAAAAAAAATATTCAAAATAAAACCAAAGGAGCAAATTTGCCTTTCATAAGAATTTTCTATTCTCTTACATCCTTTTGTAGCCATTACATCTGCATTTGCAGCTACTTTCTGTAACAGAAGAGAATTTGTCCCAAAGGCGAATATTAGATGCTGCTGCTTCAAAATGAAAATCTCTGTAGTAAAACGCGCGATTTAAAATGCACATATAAAAATAGCTGAGGGTGAGTTAACGGGCCATGAAGCAGAATAATACGGCACTAATTCTAAGAGAAAATAAAAATTACTGTTTAAAAGTACTTTTGGTTAACTGATAATGCAGCCTATGTCACTGTCTGTACAAGTCATTGGAGAGTTTAACTAGCAACTTTTCTCTTTAGAGATCACTGTCCAAATCTAAACAAATGGGAAATTTGGGATTCCAGGTTTAACAGAGTGTATTCGTTTAATTAGTTGGTTCTTACTGTCATAGTCCCAATAATTATTTTTTAAGCAATTGAAAAAGGACAAAAAAAGCCTACAGTTTTAGAAATTACCATTGTAGACCCTTCGAATCACAGGAAGCAGTTTAAATATGGAAGTTCACTATCTTTAAAGAATCTTATAAAAGGAATTCACTATATTTAAATAATGCACCATTTTAAACTGAACCAAGCCACAGAAACTACGAAATGCCAACAGATGGTTGAATTGTGTTTCCATAGCAAAGTAATTTATAATAATTGCTTTATGGATGCAAGTGCAATTTTCATTATATTCAATTCATAAAATGTTATCATACAGCTGCAATTTGTGATATTTTCTATTAAGAAAAGTGTTGAATATTTGAGTTCCTATGAAGCAATAATTAGCAGTTTGTCTAAACATATATAAACCAGAGATTTGAATTTGCCTCTTTCTTGTTAACGTAAAGACTATATACTGTGTTGAGCACATTTTGAAATCTGAAGTCAAAAAGAAAAAAATCACCAAGATGCATGTGTCGTGGCTGCTACAGCCTTCCGCTGTTTTCAGGTTCATTAGCAATTTAAGTTGATATTTTCAGAAACATCTACCAATTTGACAATTAATAATCTAAAAAGCTGTTGAAACAATACAAATTTACATTTTCTAGATGCATGTTTCAATGCTGTTTACTACTTTATTATAACAAGAACAAATACTTTCAAGGGGTGTGGGGTGGGGGAGCTGGGCATTACAAGTGCAGCAGTGTAAAATCTACTAGACCAGAAATTATTACCGTCGACTCCTAATTTCAAACACATAGCAACTTATTTATCAAAACAATGTACTCTGGAAGACTTGGAATGGACTGCAGCGACTCTGAACTGAGTAAGTACTATGACTTCATATTATTTTAAAAATATGACCTTCAGTATATATTTGAATCTCCGAGATTAATCTTTAAATTTTTTTAATTAACAAATGTTACCCCCTAACCCATTTATTCTTGGTTATTGTCTGGACCCAAATTTGGCCTTCCTGCAATCACAAAATAAAGGGTGACCACATATATTTGTGTGAAAAATCTGGACACTAAGGAAGCATATGTGAACCCGTCACACATACAGTGATCCCACTGTAACGAATTCTCATTAAAGGATACCAGAATGACAACAATGGTCATTACACAGAATTATGGACTACGCCATTGATCGAATTTAGAGAACTGACAAGGAAAAATGCAGAGGAGTGCAAGATATTTGAATATTAGGCAGTTGCAGGGCTGTGCGACAGTCACTCTTGACAAGAAGCAGCCAATTATAGCTTACATTTCTGGCACAAAACCAATTGTGATTAATAGTTTTCCATTACATTACAGACGTATTATTAATGTATTAAAAATGTCAAGCTTTGGCAAGCACTAATATGGCATGACTCAGTTAGCCTGCAGAATTTACATTTAATGAGCTCCCATTGACACAGAAAAGATATTGACCACAGCATATTACAGAGTAGGAGCAGAGGGCCACTCAGCTGGTCTTTAACATAATTATTTGATTTCGCTCTCATTTTGACGTGTGCAGCATGCATCCTCTACTATGTATCTTTCATATTGGAATTTCCTTACTTTTTAATACCACGTCAGCTTCGAAGAAAATCCTCTTAATAGAAAATTAATAAGACATTAAATATATTAACTTCTATGACACACAATGGAAAAGTCTCTATCAAAATCAGGAATTTTCTATTAAAGTATAATTATGGAGTTTTCGAAGAAAATAAAACAATGTAAGCAGAATGTTATTTACCCCTTATCCTCTATTACCTAATTGCACCGGTTCCCATCTGGCTATGCTTTCAACCAGGTTAAAGTCATCAATAGCTTCTTAAAAGTGAGATCATCGCAGCAAATAGCAAGGCAAACTGATTATGAGAGGGACAGTCAATGACATATTTGGGGATTTAATATACTAAACTCATCTCCTCTGGCTCATAATGGAACTAATTGCCAAGTAATGTGACTTTGAATTTGTCTCAGGTGTCCCCATAACATAAACTCCAGAAGTGCTCTGGGCAGCCCCAGTTCTGTTCTTTAACTTTGCAAACCTTGGGAACTCACCCTTAACCCAGTGATGCCATCATCTCTACCTGTGCACTAAAGTACTGAGAAGTCCTCTTGGATAGAAATACCCATTGATACGCTATGAGTACTCCATAGACTTCTGACTAGTGTATAAATTTGCAGAGCCAGTGTAAAAATCTAAAATTGATTTGGACTAAAAATGGGCTATAAAATAGTTTTGCATATGTGGAACACATCTCTTTTTCCAGGATTCTGTAGCTAATTCCCTACCACCTTGGGTTAGCTTTGTAAAAGGTATTTCACAGGCCCTTTCTTTCATCAGAAAAAAAAAGCCTCCCAAAATATTACATGAAAGTAATAATGATCAAAATTATAGACAATTATATTCCAAAAACAATTGCCAATTTCATCAACTGAGAGGAAAATATTGACAGTAAATCCACTAACTCTAGCTGGCTTTCGGTATTCGTTTTGTTATATAATCTCACTGAGAGGTGGGGGTGGTGGTAGTAGTCTATTTGTTCCATAAATACTCAGCTCTTTGGGGGCACCTGAAATAGACAGCTATTGACTCATTCCTCATGAACATTAAGAATTTTATAATAAGCATGTTTCTGAATGGGAAGGAACAAAAGGACAATAATCACATTTCATTGAGCGAAAAATATAAAGAGATAAAGATATATACAAATTCCATAACCTATCAAAATTAGCAGCTTCCAACACTGTCATGATGAGATTGACTAGGTGAGACAGTTAACATATACTGAATGTTCTTTGCATTTATTTATTAGTTGTGAAGATAGCATTTTCTAGTCACCTTAATGGTAAACATTTGCTTCTATCCTTTTGTTAACTGTCTCTCAAAATGTAAGGAATTTGACATGTACTGAACACGACTGGTATTTTTTACTCATACTCAATTGGATATTATGAGCAGCTGCCTATCATGAGGTTAATAAAACCAAATAGCACACCTTAGTGTTTGAAAGATCTGTTTTCATCGAGAGAGGAATGATTAGAGAAATTGGTTAGCATATATTCTGCAGGATGTTTAAAGATGGGATAATACATACAATTATTTCAGAATCAGTTAAGCCTCGAAGAAATCTGGTGTTTCTTTCCTTCTATAGGGAAGTTCAGAGGTCCATGGTTTCAAATATACGTTTAAGAAAACCTACACCCACCTGAAGTTTTGAAAGAAAACTCTGGATTCTGAAGATTATTTTAAAATTATTTTTTAAAGTATGCTAAATCTCTTCCTGATCCATAATACAATTTACACACACGAATGTTTTTCTGTGAACACAGAAATGATTTTCTGAGTTGTATGAAATTTTATTTCTTTTCAAGCAACTTAGTGCTTTTTTAACTCTAAAACTCTGGAAATCTTTACAACACTTAGAAAACATATCAGCTAAATGTGTAAAGGTTTAATTTTTAAAGCATATTACTTGATTTTTTTCCAGAATAATATGGAAGTAAAGACAAGTATTTGCTCCTATTGCAAATATACAAAGGGAAATTGTAAAACACATTAGTTTTCTCCTAAAAAAAAAAAAAGCTAACCTACATCATTTTAATGCACGTGCCCAGTGAAAGCTGACAACACAAAAACTCAATAGGAAAAACAGCCTTCTGTGCAAATAAAGTGTTTTCTTACAAAATTTTAAGATTATCCCTCTAAAATTTCATGACAGGAAGTATCACCAAATTAATAGACGAATGTATGGAATTCTGAATGCTCTCATGTTGGTCTTGAGTGGTGAACAAGATCTCATTTCATGACATCCAGAAAAGAAAAGGAAATACACCCCTTACGTACGGAGGCTGGAGCAACATTGCGTGTGAAACACTTGATGCATTTTTTTTTCTTTGTGGGCTGATCCACATGCAAAGATCCAAATTTTGCCTTAATGAAAAACTGAAAGTTGCTTATCTTCCAAAAGAATCTTGGACAGTTATGGAGCTGCCTTTCCCTTGCCAAAGAAAAGGGAGTAGGGCGCATTAGGCATTCAAAGTGACATAGCTCAAAATACTTAATGAAACCTGGGGTTGCTAATTCCCCACAGGTTAGGGATGTTCCTCCAGGGTAGACAAATGAGAAAAACTCTGCCCCTTCTCCAAAAAAGAGAATCTCTGGAAAACTTCTTCTTAACAAGCTTAACCATTAAGTATATTTGAATAAATGATTTTGTTGGGAGATCTTTCTGGTTACTTTTTTTTTGTTTTTCATTTCTGTAAGATAAGAAAACTTAGCATTTTCAGTCATAAAATAGAGCCTTATTTCTAGAGCGAAGCTACTGCCAGATACACCATATGTTTAGTGGAATTTTGATCCTACCCAGAATTTTCCATTTCAAAGATTGACAGACTAACGCTCAAGAGTGGCTCTATTTACCTTTCCCTGGGTAAAGAGAAGAATGGGGAAGAGGATCGGGAGCTAAAGCCTTTACTCTCTGGAAATCTATACCTGGTGCGATCATAGGAACGCAAACTACAACTTTTCCAAATAAAGTTGCTTTAAAACCTCCGCTAGGAATTTTCCTCCCTTACCCTGTAAAATGACAACCTCTTAAGTGGATTTCTGGAAAAAGAGGGGAGGGGGAAAAAAAAAAAAAGCTGGGGGTGGGGGGGTGGTTCCCAAGTGAGGTTACTAAAATAAACAGCAGAGGGCGCAGTATTTTTTATCTAAGTTTTCCCGTGTATGAATCACTTAATTGGTTATTTTGGGCCCAATAATATTCAGTATTATTTGTATTATATATAGACGTCTACAGATCCATACGGGAGAGCAATTCAATGTCTCTATCGAATCCATCAACCGATTAATGCAATGCCGGTAAAGAATCCGACACAATATTTCAAACAGCATTCCTACACCAAGCCTTTCCCTCAATTTTCCTTTCGCCCCAGCTGCTCAACACGGGATAGTAAGGCTTTAATCTTGCACCAATAAAAGAGATTAAATGAAAGGAACTTCAAAAGCTCTCAATGGGACCAGCAGCTCCATAGGGTCGGCAAGAGGGCAAGTTTTTTTCCCCAAAGCAAAGACGATCGGCGAAAGGGGTGGGGGAGCGGAAAAAGGACCCTCTGGTGCGTGATGTGCGGGCAGGTGTGTGTGAGGGAGAGCGCGCTGGGCGCCGGTCCGTCTGTCTGTCCGTGGAGTCACAACCCAGGCTGTGGAAACCACTCACAGCCGCGTCACCTGCGCGGGGCGCACACCCGGGGAGCCGGCAGTGCGGGGGTGAGAGTGCGCGGGGTGTGTGCGCGCAG